TCATTATTCTGTTTATGTCAGCAGATTCAAAACACCCCATTGCCATATGAGAATAAGGGGTTGTGTTTGCTTTTCTCACCAGCAATATGCACAATAAGCCAATCTAGTTCATCACCTGAATCCTATAACCTATGTTCCGCACAAAAGAATATTTGGGAATCTGCTCTCCTTGTAAGTAGTTGTTCTAACGCAGAGTGGGCAGCTCCTAATTGTTTGCCAGAGATCCTTTGGGTGACAACCTAAATTCAGCCTCCAGATTGTGTAGTATTTCCGATACTACACAATCTGGAGGCTGAATTGGCTCTTAAGATCTTCTTTCTTTTGTGCAGATGTAATAGCCTCTCGTAAATACACCAGGGCAGATTTCCACAAGATAGATGAGCTTATCTCTGGTGTTTTATTCTCAGCAATAAAACACTGCTATCGCACGGTAATATACTCGACAAAGGAAATCTGGCTCCGTAAGGCCGGGTTTAGTCGGCAGCATCTGCAAGCTGAGGGCTGGAGACAGTTGCAGTAATAGAGAAATTAGAAGAAAGTGTCTGGAGTCTTATATCTGAGGTATAGAGCACTCTCCAAATTAAGTATATCTAAGATATAAGGAAGAAATTGTGTACCCTCATTTGGAGTTGTAAGAGTAAAACATCTCTCCTGGCCATCTCTTTCCTAATACACACTAGGTCTTGTAATAGCAGAAAAAGCTTGGGTGAAACTAATTTCCTTAATGATAATTCAGATCCATTAAGTGTCCCAGTAGAGCAGGCCTGTGAGCCAGCATGGTCAATACCATGCTGGCTCCAGGAACCAGGAACTGGCTCATCTAAATTGGAATGCAGTCGTATTTAATGTCCCTGGTTTCACCTGTGCTTTTCCTGATATGACAAGACATGAAAAGCCTAAAAGGTGCAACAAAACAAATCAATCAAGTCTAATTATCAATCCAACACTCAGACGCGTGTTTTCAGTCCTTCCTGCTCATTAGAATTCTGCTTATGTTGATGGCGTGTGGAATTACGTGGTGTCACCAAGCAGTGTGTATTAAAGCGAATAGGCCTTTTTCACAGATGCCACTTTTCACATGTCAAAGTAGGAAAAAAACACAGGTGTTAATGATACTATTTATAATGGCTGAATCCCATTTATTTGTTTCAATGTCAGGTTCCGTGTATATGAATTCAAAACAACATCCTAGATCCAACATATATAAAAGTATGTTCTTTCAGCCCTTTCCATATTAAAAATATATATTTAGGACACTCGATGGAAGTCTTTCATCTTTGTCTAAGTTCAGTGAAAATACTTTTCAAAATAATCTATTTTTGTATGGAACAACATTAATTTAATTTGAATGAATGTCACGAAGAAATGGATTTACATTAGCAGGGACATGGCCTCAGCGACTTTCTGCCTCTGCAGCTGTTCTCTTGTTTTCTTGTTCTCTCCCTCTCTCTCTCTCTCTCTCTCTCTCTCTCTCTCTCTGTGTGTTGTGGGACTTCTCTGGTGATTGTGCTCATCCTTAGCAGGCCTGCTCAGGGACCAGCTCATTACAGTGTTTCAGCATTCATTGTCTTGACTCTTGTTACACTGTTGCAGAGGAGAACTACTTTCATGCTCCCACTGACTAATGTGCCTTCAGGCAATGTGGATACAAACATACCTCAGCAACCGAGAGAGTACTGCTGATGGTATCTACTACTGATGTGCGTGTACGTGTGTGTGTGCATTTGTATGTGTGCAAGTACGATTTCAACAAGTTTGGACAGTCAGCAATATCAACAAATTGAGTGCTGGATTGGATTGAGGACATTTCTTCATTACAGTAGCCACATAGAGTATGTGCACATAAACGTTTACCCTACAAGCCATTTAGTCAAATTGATGTGTAACAAGATGGCTTGTGTTCTTGCCAACAATATTTTATTATTTAAACATTCGAATTAAATAGAAAGACACAGCATTTCTTTTTGTTGTGTGTTTTTTTTCTCAAATGTTTTATTTTTTGCTTTGCTCGCTGCATGGCTCTATGGATAGCTTTGTTGGTCTTGTCTGTCTATTGGTTGATCCACCTCTTTGGCTTGGACTGAAATATCTCAACAACTATCGGATGGGATGCCGTGAAATTGGATAGACAGTCATGGCACACAGAGGATGGATCCTACTGTCTTTGGCAATCCACTTGATTTTTGGTTAAGATAGAAGTGTCCATGTACCATGAAATACAGTATAACACACATATTTCACGTCCACCTCAGGATAAATAACTTTATTGATCCACTGATTTCTCATCTAGTGCATCATCATTTCATCAGAGAGCGTGCGTGTACATGTGTGTGTGGGCGTGTGACGTTTCTGTTTGTCCGTGATCGACTGATCTGATGGATTTTTATTTATAGATATTATTCATGTAATTTGCATGCGAAATAGGTCTACCCAAACAGTGGACATGAAATAGCAACAGCTGCAACACAAAGGTAGCCGGACCTGGCAACACTGCATGGATAAACTCTTAGTCTTGCATCTCACATGATAGTATGAATTTTTCCCAGATTTTTAAGCTCTGGCAGCATTATTGTAACCTTAAATAGAAACTCAACCAAGAAAGCTAAACCATTGTCAAAGCCCTCCAAGTTTAAAAAGAAAAAGATGCATCTTGTAATTCTATCTTTTTCAGCGCCCTCCACAGGCAGCCAGCCAGCCAGCAGCTAAATGAAAGCCGCCATCCATTCTGATTGTCTAGTCCAGTATACAAATCCTGTGAGCTGATGAAACTAAAACACACCGTCATTGCTTAGAATAGCTCAGTCTGTGTACAGTACAAGAATCTGAAACACAGAGCAAGTTACACTTTGAATGAATTTCTTAGTTTTTATTTACTGCTCTTAGTATTGAAACTATTCCTCTTGAAGTTGACCCAACACTGTTGCAAAAAAGTGTGATTTTCACAATTAATACATATCCTACCAGGTTTGCTGAGCACCAAAGCATTGCAGCTACAGTCATATGAAACTGGGCCATATCAATGGCCATATAAAGAAGCAATCCATAGGAAAGTATAGTAACTAAGCATATGTATCTGCTGAGAGAGGTAATACTGCGTGGTGGGAGGGGTGTCTGGGATATCCATATCTAGAATTTCTGTCCCTTCACACATAAAGGGTGAGACACTGCTTTCTAAATTGAACATCCCTGAAGATTCCTGGTTGCTCCAATACAAGTCCGAACCTCATTTGTTCATATCACAGCTTGAATAAACTACCAGTGCGTGTGTGTGTGTGTGTGTGTGTGTGTGTGTGTGTGTGTGTGTGTGTGCGTGCATGTGGCCACTGAGTAAAATTTAACAAAATGAAAATCTATCTCGTGCTGTATCCTTTCCTGCTGTTTCTTTCTCTGCATCTCAAATTAGCAGATATTCTCCTCTCCAGTGAAAATAGATTGATTGCTTGTTGTTAATTCAACCGAATCCTTCACAGCAGACTGATTGCAGAATAACAAATGCAGTGGCCATAAGAGGAGGAACAACAATGCGAGGAATCCTTTAAGACTTCACCATGTTGCCAAAGACTTTAAAACTGTAAAAATCACTTTAAAAAGGAAGTAGACTTGCAGTTTAAGTGGTTTGAATTGAGAATATCTGTGTCAGATAGCACTCTGGCACTCATGTGTTGTGGCTTTCAGGACCGCATGCAAAGTTTGTTTGTGTCATTAATCCTTTGAGCCGGTCAAGAAGCTGAAAGAAGCACGTATTGCTATATCCAGCCCGTTCACAGCATATAACATCTAAAACGTAATATGACATAAATCTTTGCAGCACTGGAGCCAAGTGAATTAGACCTTTGTCTGGTTACAAATCATTCATTTAATATCGAGCTCACCTCTTTATTTACTATAGCCATTTACTGACTTGTCAATGGCATTCATCTCAGCGTCCAAGTCATAATTACAACTGAAGAGCTTATTTGACGAGGCACTCAATAATACGGACAGGTGTTCTAAAATATATAGAGTGTTATATTATCAATGCACATTGCTTTTAAGCGTCATGAGGACGCTCTTAAGTCATAGACGAGTGGAAATCATTCACATCTTTACCTTCCATTCAACTTGAAGTGAACACAGAGAAACACATATAGACAGGCAAAACACATTGTATTATTCATTTTTAACTATTAATATTTGATTGTTTGAAAAATTGCCAAAATATCACCAGTTCCAGCTTCTAAAATTTGGGAATTTGCAAAAACAGAACAAATATTACGTCATGTTGGGCTCTGGCAAATTATAATGCGCATTTCTGAATATTTTCTGACATTTTATTGCTAAAACAATTGATTGATTAATCGAGGAAGTGATCTGCCGGTTGATCAATAATCAAAAGAATAATTAGTTGTAGCCTAAAGACATCCAAGCGAAGTAGCAAAAATGTTTCCACATATTGTTGTGGCCCAGGAAGAGTTGGTGGGGGGGGGTAGAGAGGCAGGCGGAAAGAGCGAGAACGGGATGTGTCCTTACAAGTTCTCCAAATGTTTTGAAGAATGTTTGTGATGGCTAATAAAAGTAGCCTGGCACTCGGGTCCTCCACAGCCGTGTTTGTCACTCATTGCGTGCCTTTAATAAACCGCTCATTAGTCAGAAACCTCATTAGCAATCTGACAACAGGGAGCATGTGATTCAGCAGAAGAGGAAAGGAATTTGTTGCTCTTTCATTGAAGGTAGAAAGCCGGGGAGCGTTCAAGGATGCGCCTTCGGGTTTTCGGCTGCATGCTTGGAGTAAACATCATCATCTTCATAACAGCATCCTTATAAACATAATCCTCCATGGAAAAATGCTCCTAACCTAAATAAGACCCCAAGAAAAGAGATGAAGTTGCCAGAGTAATTTATTTTTAAAGCTGTCCTATTTTTGTGTAAGTGCAAACCAGGAATATTTACTTATTTGAATGCATGAAGTGGACAAAAAGTACTGAGGCTTACTAACATCATAACATATCTCTCCTTTACAGATCTGTGACAAGGAATGGCACTATTATGTGATCAACGCAGAATTTCCTGCAGTGACACTATTTGTGGATGGGGTGACCTATGAACCCTACCTGGTGACAGATGACTGGCCGATCCACACCGCAAAGATTGATACACAGTTAACTGTGGGCGCCTGCTGGCAAGGTCAGTTTGTGTGTGTGTGTGTGTGTGTGTGTGTGTGTGTGTGTGTGTGTCTTTCTTTCTAAAATTCACAGTAGCTTCAGAGTGATGCAGACATTTGTCCTAAGCTGAAGATGCTGACATCAGGCAGGAATGGGACGCAACTGCTATTAAACTGTGCTGTTTGGATCGTTTCCAGCTGTACTACATAATCTGACAGTTGCTTTATATGCAGCTGCCTTTTGAGCTTGAGGTTGTTTTGTATATTTCCTCCACATAAATTGAAGAAATTAGTTATTATCAGGCATCTTCTATTTCAGGGCATCTTTACTGTTTCATTTAAAAGAACTGTTGATTATTCTGATAGGTTATTGGTTTATTGGTTATTGGTTAATGGTGGTCACAACTGCTTTAGTGTTGTAAATGCTTGTTGGGAAACCAAATAGAAAAAGTGGTACACAAAAGAAATAGAAACAGAATGAGGAAATGTCTTTTGGAAAACCTCTAAATTGCTTTACTGCCACTTACTTTCTAACTTAATTTTGTATAAAAACAATAAAGCATTATATTGAGATCCAAGTATTTTGATCAGAAACTCTTACTACAGAAACAGAACTGAGAACAGATTGGTGTATAGGTGTAACAAACTATAATGTATTTTCTACTTAACATGCAAAGGGGACCAACCTGGAAAAGACGGAAGCTTACAGTATGGCAAACAGAGAAATAGCATCAACAAAGAGGCACAGCAGCCAAAACATGTTGAAAAATTACATTTGAAGCACAAACAGAGAGAGTGAGTGAGAGAGAGGGGAAGCCGGAGACTTTCTGTTGAGATAATTAAAGAGATTAAGATTCACGCCCCAGGGCTGCGAGTATTTCTTCTTTGAAATGGAGAGTCACGAGCAGAGTGGGTATCACACAGGAAATTCTGCACGTCAGTTCCAGTGGCAGGGAAAGAGAGCGAGCAGTGATCACATTGGAATGAATAACAGCTACCCTGCTGCCTTGTTTATGACTGGAATAATTAAACAAAAGTGCTTTACAGGAGGACAGAATGGGACTGTAGTGATCCGTTCTGCAGCTTGCCCAGATCACGCTCATAATGCTCACCGGCATCATCCAAAGCTTCAATCCCGATGACATTTTGGTTGCCATTTAAATTTCTTTTCTTCCTATGCCTGATTGCAATTTTCTTTTTGTCGTCATCACTTTCTTCGTTGCTTCATACAGGCCTCTCTTTCTGCCTTTTTCCATGAATCTCTTGATTGTGAGAGAAAGCCCTGAAGGAAGGATTAGCTAGAGTGAATGGAGGACAACTTTGCCAGCTATTACATCCCAATGAAGCCGCTTTAAGCTTCACTAAGCCGCAACTGATAACTTTTCAGGCCATTAGCGAGCAAGATTGCCTTGCAGAGTCTCTCATTTATCCATCCCCTTCTCCCAACAATCAACAACAAAATGATGAGACATGAAAGGCATTCAGACCGTATTTTCACTGCCCCGAAAGCAAAGAAGATGTGTTTTTCCATACAAGAAATGGATGGTTGTTGTTTTCTGAAGCAATTTTCTGTAGAAACAAGCAGTTTGGATGCGAAATGGGTGTTTGCCATCTCATTTAATGTGCAACAGGAAAGTGGGTGTCAAATTTCAAAGCAACCCCCACAGTGCAGTATACATATACTTAACTAACAAAGCGCGGAGATATAGGCATCGGGAATCTGAGCTAGTTTTATGTTGATAATAAAAGGCATCAGTCAACATATATCACCAGGAAGTTTTAAATCTTTGGAACACTGTGCTGCCATTTTAGCTTGCTTTTAGCACTCGGTGAAATGAGAAAAGTCACATTTAATATCCAAGGTGAAACCACTGTTGAAGTGAAATGGCCTATACCGCCTTTAGAATTAGAAACTAAACATGTTTTATGTCTTCTTCACGCTCAAGAAGTCAACATCTGCAATAGTCTGCAGCACTGATGTCTAAAATATCAATTTAATAATCATCATCATTTGTGAATTAGCTTACATAAAAATATTACAGTTGTTCATGCTCTTATATATCAATGTCTTCAAAAGACCTGCCGTGCAACATGTGACATGTCCTCTTCCTCTTTCCCTGTCCTTTCATTCATTTCTCTTTTTTAATGAATCTATAAAAAAAACATCTGCACATCTATACACGGGCAATCCAAAGTTTCAGTCCAGTTTGCACTTTGTCATTCAATCACAAAGACGTTGTCTTGATGAAAACCTTTCAACGGTGCAGAAGGAGACTGAAGAGCAGAATAATGACGATAGTTCCCACATGTGGAGACAAAGGGAGGTGATGGAAATGTCCCACTCTGCCCCTGCTTACATACTGCCATCGCAAAAACCCAGTGCTTACCATTTCTGATTAAATAATGCATGGGCAAGTTTCAAGAATAAGACTAATAAAGCCTATAATGAGGGTGATGTTCTTAGTTCTTGCAGTTTGTGATTGTACCACTTCCTCTGACATGGACACAGAAAATCTGTCAAATTGTTAGTTATTATATCTTTGTTATTTTAAAAACAACAAAGATATTTCAAATCACCTTTTGCATGTCACTTTTACATTTCACACCAGGTGGGGAACCTCGACACATAATTAGCCTCAGCATTGCAACAGGAACATGATTAACAGCACACATCGCAGAACATTGTCATAGAACAACACACTATGTTTTGCATAGTGTTAATTGGCTTTGGTTGTGATCTAGATGTGAAATATGTCTATGAAGTAAAGTAGTAAGAAGGCTTTACGTTGTGACTTTTTGAACTCTTACAGCAAAGAAAAGTGCCTATTAGTGAAATGGGGATGACAAATACCAGAATGACTTATAACCGTTCTGTTTCACCCGTTTGTTTTTGGACTTGAGGCGAAGCTCACCCCTCATACATACACAGAACAAATACTGATTGGATACTGAATTTGGGAGCAAAGATTGTGTACTTTTTGTCTAACTTCCCGTTAGCCCACAGCTCGTTGGGGATTCTGAGTGTGGATGAACACATTCTAATGTCTGTTGTTACCAGATACCAGATGCTGTAATGTTGATTACATGGTTAGTGCAAATCATATGCTGTTGGTCCTAACAGTTCTTGGAGAACATGGACTGTCATAAAATGGCAGCATCATTCATCAGCATCAGCAGTGCCCACCCTCTGCTTCTCAGAGCTCCAGGAGATAAAACATATAAAAAAGTGGTGCTCTGCTTAAAAGGAAAAAACGAATTATCTAGCTATGATTATCAACCATTACTTCTGTAGGTGATGCAGTTTTTACGAGACTGTGGGATGACTGCTGTGTTACCTCACTGCTTGTAAAGTCAGCAGTATAAGTCTCCTGTTGCCTAGCATGCTGAAGGCAGTTGTTTGGTGTCTTTATGACAGGATCGTATCTCTCAGCTCTACGTGTACACACACCCCTGTATGATTCACATTGACGGAGCTGAGAGAGTATAGATGCCTCCAGCCCCATACTGTAGCTGTTGTTCACAGTAATATCTGCTGTTACTGTCTACTGTTCCCCTGAGCCTCGCTGTGCAGAATAGTTCAGTACAGCAGAGGAGGGGAACATCCAGGCTGTGTTACAGTAAGTGGGTTAGTAACCTCAGAAGAGAAAATTATTTAGTCAACTTTCAGGAACTGAAGAGCATACTATATATTCAGTATAACAGAAGGGCATTTTGCTGCAGCTGGTTGTAATATGGTTAGGTCAAGAGTTGATGGTTATGGTTAGGGTTAGGGTTATGGTCAAGGTCAATGATTTGACAAAGGGCAAAAAATATACTGATTGTTTCATACCTACATTTAAAATGCTGTATTGCATGGGTTTTTGCTGAAGTTTACTGTAGAAGTCATAGACTGTAAATAAGAAGTGGATATATTCAGCGTGACGTCCTCAATTGGTTTGTGCGCTGCCATTTTGAGGCCTTGAGTTAATCTTGGTTTTTGGCCGTTGCCATCTTGATGTTGTTTTTTTTCAACCAGAAGTGACACGTGAAGGTGCAGCCAAGACATTTTAAGGCGAACAGAAGGTTATAATTAACTTTCATGACCTGAAAACACTCTGTGATAGCATTAAAGAAAAACTAAGACATCTCCGGACAACGCAGCGATAGTGACCCGTCAATCACTAGGGAGCTAATGGCATTGCAGACCTGGAAGTTGCCGCCTGCAGAAGTTTTAATCATTTTAAACAAAAAACATAAAATCACCCCTTTTAAATAATTTTAAGTCTCCTTTAAGGCTGTTTTACGTTTTATGTTCTGTGCATTTTTTTACGTCAAATTCTATTTTATGTTTTTGGTTTATTTGATTATCATTATGAACCAAAACTATTAATACTGTTAATAGATTATTTTTCAAAATAATTAATATTTCAGCACAATATACAGTATACAATTAAAATTAAAAAGTGCATTTTAAATCTGCCTAAAGAACATATAAATGTGTAAATGGGTGGTGTGTGAAAAAGATTCATGAATGTTATTTTGGTGCTTTTTCCCTGGAAACATACAGAATACATGTTGTTGTCTCTTGTACCCTGCAAAGGCTCAGTAAAAACAGGTTTGAGACCAAAAGCTTGACTCTGAGACCAGGCCGGTAAAATAAAAAGCTAAAGTTTACTCAAGGTCGACAACAGGCCACAGTCAAAACCAGACAGGCAGGAAGGATGAGGCAAATGTATCCAATAGGGGATCAGGCTAGGCAGCGAGTCCAAAAGGCAGTCAGAGAAAATGGCTGGAATGCTGAAGGCAGGAGCAGAGCATACGATTTGGCGGGTAATTAATGGACGTGGGCCAGTGTATATGCTACTGGGCTAATGGAGAAGTGGGAACAGATGGGTGCAGGAGGGGATGGGGAATGGCCCTCAGGGATACTGAGGGCAGGTGGAAGTGGTCGGATCTGAAAGGACAGGAAAGTTATTACACAGCCGGTGAAAAAAGCAGACAAGGAAAATGTGACACTAGGAATTGGCTGACATTTTGACTTACCCAATCTGTATCTCTCCAACTGACCTTTTTTCACCCCTCGTCTCCTCTGCCCCTTTCCACTTCTGTCCTTAAACCTCTCATTTTACACTTTTCCTTTTTTCCTATTTGTGGTTCTCTCCTTTCTTGCTCTCCCTTTAGGTGGTGAGGTAGACACCCCGAGGTTCACCCAGTACTTCCATGGCAGCCTGTCAGGTCTGACAATCCGACCAGGCCGCATTGAAACCCAGAAGGTTATTTCCTGTTTGCAGGCCTGCAAAGAAGGCCTCGATATCAACTCCCTTGAAAGCCTCGCTAAGGACATTAAGGTGTGTGACAACACACACGCACCTCTTTGTAATTCTATCTCTGTGAGGACACTCATTGACATAATATGAAGTGAGGACCGGCCAAAATGTCTTCACAGGTCCTCACAAAGATAGATGTTCACTTACACACACACACTTACTCCAGCCTTTGATTGATAGTAACTTCTACCACCTTAGCGGTACTATAGAGGAAGACACTGTGTCCTGTTCAGGATAGCATTACAGGATGCTACTCTATAACATATATGATAACATGTAATTCCCCATCAAGCCAAGACTCAAATAATGTCGTTTGAGCTACAACATGAACACAATTGTTTCAACTGGAAGATTCTTTGAGGACAAATAGTATTTGTTTGTGTCCAGTTCCATTTTAACCCCGCCCAGTCTGTGCTGGTGGTGGAAGGAGAAGATCTGGACAGCATCAACACAGCCATGTCAAAGGTCTCCTACATTAACTCTCGCCAGTTCCCTACGCCCGGCCTCCGACAGCTACACATCACCACCAGCGTACAGTAAGTGCACATATACTTGGAAGATGCATGTTCACTCACACTTTGACTTTTTTAACATCCATCTCTACATTCACTTAGTTTCACGTTTTCACATTCGCTGTATAGGAGCTTCCCAGTTCAACCCATTCAACCTTATGAATATCATTGTGTAGTACAGATCTGCTGCTTCTTTTTGTTTGTGTGTGGGTTTGGTATTTAACTCTACATGACACACGTGTTTGTTGTGAAAACTAACGAAGCACATTTTGCAGGTATTCTGTTTGAGGGAGCTATCCGGTTGTTGAATAAAGTGTGAGGTCTATAAGTATCCCTAGAACCCTAATGTGAAACGATGCATATATAAGACATAAGACACGTTGGTCAACTTAAGTCACAGAAGCTACAAACAGCCAAAGGAGTTGTGGTTAAAGCATTAAATGAAGGCTCTGTCAGATGTGTTGTGTCTGACTTTGTCTTTAAGCCACAGAACTCCCAGTGAGGTGGCAAAGAATAGATCACCAGTGTAAAAACCACGAAACAGCTGGCCATTGAGGACATTAAGCCTTTGGGTGAACGGGAACACCATCTTGTGAGCCTCTATTTGTCCTCGCTTTTTATTTATTTATTTTTTTCCATTCTCTCTTTCTTTTATTACCAGCCACGACAATGTGTGGTGTTGTGGCCGGTGTGATGCCATCGCAAGGCGCTCTAGTTTGTCTGTCTGTTTTTCCTCTGTGTGTCTTTCTGTGATTCCATGTCTGGATTTAATTTCATTTGAATTGACTTTGTCCTCTCCCAAGGATGGGGATATTAGTCGGCCTGTTTGTCCAACATTTGTTCAAAGGACATTATCTCGAGAACTGCTGGGCCCATTGTTATGAAATCAAATTACAAACAGTTTGGTTCCACACAACAATGCATCATAAAAATGGCTTGTCTTTCCCTGATATTTGCAGTGGATCAAAGGATTAATACTCGTCTTTTTGGTGACCCCAAAAAGAACCTCTTTCGTGCCGTCATCAGGCCAAAATCTCTATTTACACACAGGAAATATGAAAATCTTCTACTGGTATAGCTGGATTTATTATCAAAAACACACGATATGACCATATATGTGTACTGCATATACTGTTAACTGTAAATCATAAAACAATACGTAGTGTTCCTTTAACAAGAGAATGAACAGGAAAATACTTCTTCCCAACTGCATCACATTGAAGGTAACATGCTTGATTGCATCTTTGTATATGTGTGTGTGTGTGTGTGTGTGTGTGTGTGTGTGTGTGTGTGCACTTCTCCTCACTCTTAAAGTATTTGTCTATCCTAACACAACTTGTATGCCCATGTGTGCCACTTTGTGTGTGTTTAGTTGTATGCTGCATGTGTGTATATTGGAGCGCTTGCTCATGTGTCTGTTCCCGTCTCCACACCCATCCGGCGCCTGTTCATTTGGTGAGCAGCAAACGCAGACAGGTCAAATCAGCTTAGATGTGAGCTGGTCGATAAAGTGAGGCGAGCTCGGGGAGTTGCAATACAGGCTGTCTAATGCTGAACAACACTTCACAGCTCCCCTCGAGATAAAGACAGACAGATCCGCCTTTACACTCGGCAGATATGTTGGATCTGCCGTCTGTGACTGAGGCAAAACAATAATATGTCGTCGCATTACACATTCTTGATATTTTTTCAAATTCTTCTTGAAGGTGTTGTGTCGTTTGAAAGCTGTTTTTCTTGTCTTTTTGTTACGAATCGTGACAAGCAGCCGGAGTAGCTCAATGATACTGCCACTTCAGTAGTGACAGGGTCAGTGGATTCAGCATTTCAAACAAGCCTGGCTGAATCCAAGACTTTAAGAGATAACACCTGTCTTGTTATATTTAGCTTTTCTTTCAAATGGGCTATTTTTCCTTTTTGGAGATTTATTGTTGTATGGGCAGAGGTCAAAGCTAATTACACTCATTTCAAACGCGTTAAAGAGATGCTTTACTTCATTGCAACATTTTGTTTTTGTAACTTAACAGTTTACGAAGGGATGCTTCAGTTTGAATTGGGATTTTTAGACTTTTATATTGTAATTATGTAATTATTATTTTGTTTAACTGTTAAACACAATTTTCAAAGAGCAAAGAGTAAATCTTGAAACCACCCAGTACATGAAAACCTGTTTTTGACATTTTACCCAATATACATACTGTAATTATATACATTCTTCAGAACAAATGGGGATACTGAAGTGAATACCAAATAATGTCATGAAGTCCCCGTCACACAGTACTATATGGTGAACATGAACATTTTCTGTCCATAAATGAAAAGAAGACAATCACTTTGGGGGCATAACTTTGAAAATAAAGATGTTGAATTAAAGGAGGATTTTTGGGGTTTGGTTATGTAATGAATTAGCCTTTGAAACTAGTAAGTGATATTCATATTATGCAAAAGCATCAAAACATGTACCTAAATCCTTTGAAGTAGCCTGTATTTGTAAGTGTTTATGAGGACACTGGCGTTATAACAATCTTATTCTGGCATTTAACAAACCTTTAGAAGTGATATTCAGTTATCATCGCTTACTGGAAAATGAAACAAAGTCATGCAACTTAAAGACCTTGAAAAGTTAAGTAAAACCCTTTTCGTTATTATACACAAGAGGTATGTGTATTTGTGTTTTCGTCCCTGCTCCTCTTACTGGTTTGAAGTGAGCAGGACTCAAAAGGTACAAAAGGTAATGCCACGTATTTCTGTGAATCAATCAGGATTTAGCCACATTTGAATCAAAATCTTATGATAGTTGGCGGTTGTTTGCTAATGTTGTCAGGCTACGTCAATCACATCTGATCAAACCCATTCCCACACAGTCCCGATGAGGCAGTTTAGTTGTGTAGTGTTGAACACAAACGAAAATAACTCAGTGTGTTTTTTTCATTCCATCTCTTTTTATTTATTTTTGATATATTACTTATTTTGTCATGAAGATTTAATCTTATAAAAAAGTTGTCTGGGCTTTTTAACACATGTTTTCTGTGTGTCCATTTTTTATGCTCATCCTAAAATCCATGAGCACTATGGCTCCTCCTAGAATACAAAAAAATCTGCATTTCGTAATCACACCATGATGAGCAGTGGAGCAGTAACACTGGTGCCATCTTGCCCTGTAACCTCTCTCTTCCTCTTCTTCTGTGTTTGTGTGTGTGTGTGTGTGTGTGTGTGTGTGTGTGTCAGGTGTTTTGGTGAGGACACGTGTCTCTCCATCCCAGACATCAAGTCAGTGGTTATGGTCCTGCCGCCCAGTGAACCGAGAATCACCATTGCAGGATCTAATCGGCTCGTCAGGCCCGCCAATGACCTGCGGGGCCCGCTGGGTGTGGCACCCTTCAAAGAGCTTCACATCACCAGCACAGTAATGAAGGGAGACAGCTTTGGTGGATGTGAGTGGAGAGGATTGTTAAGATGCTCTCATTTCATACCAGCCTTGTAGCAATATTATAGTTCATTTTAAATACCTGTTAGGGTTACAATCTTTTTTGCGTTTATGTGCACTGGATATATATAATTTTGAATCTACAGTATTCGCACACTAATTTTTCTGTCATTTTGTGTCCATGCGTACAGCCCATAGACAAGGTGTGATGGAGGTGATGCATAACTTGGACTACTGCGATGTGCTGGTAATTGGGGAAGAACTGAATCCTGAGAGAGAGAGTTTGGAGATTCATCACAGTGCCTTGTTGGGAAAACACCTGGATGCCACCAACTCCACCTCTGGAATATCAATATATGGTAGGGCTTACCACTCTGGCAAGAGGGATGATGTGTGGCTCTAATGCTCTATGCTGGGAAGACATCATGAAATGCACATCCTTTCCACCTTAAAACCTTGAAGAATATCTCTAAAATGCTTTGCCCTTTATACAGCAATAAGATCCACGATCTATAGAGTAAGACAGCTGTGAAGGTCCCTGAAATCTCGTGTAATAACGTATTACAGGTACAAACTGACACACAGTGCTGCATGACATATTTTAGACCGTAGTATAACACATTTCTTCCTGCGTGTTGCAAGGTGTGGACTCCATGGCCCACTATGAGCAGGCACTGAGACAGCTACGCTACAGGAACTGGCGACCAGCCGCCCTGAGTGAGAGAAAGTTCAGACTCACCTGCTCTGAACTCAACGGACGTTACACCAGCAATGAGTTCAATTTGGAGGTCGGTTTGATGTATTTCAATAGCCATATTTTACCTCTTTTTTACTCTCTTCTTCTCTTCATGTCCTTCACTCTTTATCAACTCCCTGTCGTTTGTCATGTGTCTTTTTCGTGCTCCTTTTCTCCATTTTCTTTTATCTTGCTTCTGATCTTTCCTATGCTCAGTTAGTTCCTTTCATACCACATTGTCTGCCATCATCCTTTTAGTTTCTTTATTTTCGTTGCACAAATTATGGTCCACCTTCTTTTTCTTGAGGATAATAGTCTTCGTCTCTCCTCTCTACTTAAGGTTAGTGCTCTTCACCACTCAGCACCTGTGGAACATGTCAATCATATGGCTGCCCAACCTCAGTACATGAGACCTGTCCATCACCCGCTCATGATACACACTCTCAACTCGCACATGTCAGGTAAGCCACAAATGTCATTCAAATGTATTCTGTGGTGGAGATTTGGTGCTGTAAGGATGTTTGCATTCATTACAGACTGGTTATAAGTCACTATGAGGGACATTTGTTTTATATTGATATGGTAATGACAATAATGGTGAACCCTAAAATATCGTCCCAATATCAATATCAAAGGGACAAACTATTTCATATTTGATTTTCTCCATATTGCGTAGCCACACTAAAAACCACAGCCACACTATAATTATACAGTGCTATAAGCATATATATGTTTATAATGCGTTATAGACACATAGGCGTCAAAGAAAGTACCACCAGATGTTTTAACTGAATGATCATCTGCTTATTATCACCAGCTTTCAACAAAAAAATCGTTTAACTAGACAGATACCACTGACTTTTCAGTCACCTGCTGCCTAAGAGAAGCTGTTTCTGTTAGTCAGTCGATTATTTGGAAATGAAAACAAAGGTAAACATTAACAGTTATCCTTACAGTCCGTACATGTAAGCATCTATTAGATTTATGTCCCTAATCAGTTTAGACTGTTCTTACTGTACAATAGATGGATTCAGATCCACTTTTCAAAATGCAATGCATGATTATAATTTGTTGGCCTTCTTTCTCTGTTTCAAATAAGCAGGCTGAGATAAGATGATTAAACAGGAGATTGCTCTGTTGTAAAGCATTGTCTAACTAAATTGCTGCAACCCCAGATAAGAATCTACAGCTGTCTATGTGTACATTATATATACAGTATATACCTTTTCCTTCAGGAGCAGCACCACCAGCAGCCACAGCAGTTATTGTGGTCTGTATCGCCGCCCTGGTGGTGATTGTGGTCATTGGCGTGTACAGGATCCACGCCACACATCAGGAGGGGTCCAGAGAAGATGAGGAGGAGGTCAAAGACACTGAGGAAGACTGGGACAACTCTGCACTCACCATCACTGTCAACCCCATGGAGGTTGGATTACTTTTTTTAAATTTACTTTTGAGATGTTTTACGCCTTCAGAATGCTTATTTAAACATCTTACAAATAGCTCTATTACATTTGATGCCACTGTAAAGTGGATTTGGGAGCTGTGGTGACCTTTACTAAATCACGCTTTGTTTTCTAGAACGTAGGAGGAGCTCAGGCACATGATGAGGAGGTAAAAGAAGAAGAGCGTGATGAGGAGGAAGAAGAAGAGGATGAGGAACAGGTGGGAGGAATGACAAGTGCCGAGTCCGACAACAGTGATGCAGATGAAGAGGACGGAGAAGAAGAGAGAGAAGAGGTGAAAGAGAGGAAGCAGAAGGAAAAACTAGAGTGGGACAGTTCCTCCACAACATACTGACCACACATACATAAACATATATCTGCACATACAAACATTCTTTACATATATGTCTCTCTCTCTCTGTCTCTCTGTCTCTGTGTCTCTGTGTCTATCCCTCTCTCTCTATCAATCACACACACACACAGACACGCACACAAACATGCGTTAGGCATGCTCGCTACAGGTAGGGCCTACAAACACACACACACAACAAACAAATCAGAATCTCTGATAAAATTATTTACAAACTGTTGCTGGAAAAAAACACTTTGAATCTTCCCACGTTGTCCTTTTTTAATGACACATCTCCCTCTGCTGGACAAAGTCAGAACAACAGAATCAGCTGCAGTCCCACACTGCTGGAAAACATTGTCTGTGCATTATGTATATTATCATTCGCAGTCAATGAAGCTAAATATAGGATGAATATCAAACAAGCACAGTCTTCTCATTATATATTCACACTTATGTGATGAAATTAAATCTAAACTCTTGAATTTAGTGACACAAGTGATCTCCAATTCTTACATTAACAATAATGTGGGCTTTTATCCAAACATTTAATACGTGAAAGTGTCAACAGATTACTTTTGCATCGTTTATGTTTTAAACAGATTGTCTGCAAGATGGTGAGTTATTAGCAGATGTATCAGCCACATGTATCCATAAACGTATTTATTTGTTGATGTATCCATAAACATTTAAAAATATAATTCCTTTGGCCTATATAGTAGGTATAACATAGCCGTATTGTCACTCAGTGTATATATCCTCTGTTGCAATATTTAACTCAAATCTCTCCCTCTGTGTGATCAGTGCTGAGTTTTGTGGCCTGGACACTAAAGAGAAACAACCTCCTGGATATTTGATCTCTTACCATAAACATTTCATATTCATCCTTATTTATATACAAAGCAGCATTATTAACTTCGAATAAATATATTACACCTTTCATTTCTCAAAAGTATTTTAAAGTTAAATTGATCACTGATCTGATAAAAAAAAAGTTGATTGTAGTTAAAATACTTTGTTTGCATCTGCCTGTGTACCAACTCTATCAATACTGTGGCCTATTGTAGCTTCTACTGTTTAGGGTTTGATCAGTTCTCTTTCTTTTTTCAGCAGATGAAATAACACAGAGATGTTACTGTATGCTACTGATGTTCTGTCTTTCTGTGTTTTTAATTCCATAGTAAAAGGAGCCCTCTATGCAATTATGGGCCCAGTGTAAAGGACCAGTACACAGAAACAGGGGTACTCCAGAAAAATTGCAACAGAGACAGCAGAGCAACTGAGTAGCATCAGGCAAATGCACAAGGGCTGGTTTCACAAATATTTTAACTTTACACAACACAATACCAACTTTAACTGTGTGCTTTAGATCAAGCTAACTATGTCTATAAATTGATCCATTGCATAAATGTAATGATATTTAATATCTTAAGTAAGATTCATTTGCTATGGATTCTGGGTAAATGTGTGTGACAATACAAAAAACTTGCTGAGTCCCAACTTAGCCTAAGGATAACACAACTACTGTTATTGTCAGTTATTACTGTCATGAATTAGACTAATCTCAGAGCAAAACACCATAAACACCTCTGTCAAATATGTTTTTGAAATCAGGATAAAAGTTTGTCACATGTCCAAGTTAAAATATCCCTGATTCCATCATCAAGGTTATATTCTCAGACTTGACAGATGGAGAAGTTTTCCTTTTGACAAGTAAACAGTAATGTGTTAAATTAATGGAGTGCCCCTTATACAGTCAGATGAAGACCCACTGGTGTTTGTTTCCTGGTGTTATCAAGTCGTCACTCCTGCACAACTTCACCAGGACAACAAACAGAAGTGGAGTTTGTCTACATTCAAATGATTTAAAAGTAACTCCTCTGACCATTTTTACTCAGACAAACACTTCTGACCCGTTCATGTCTACACAGTATCAGTGACTATTACTCCCTCAGAGCTCTCTAACTGATACGTCTCCTGTTCACCTGCGCCCCCCCCCCCCCACCCCCCCTCTGTTGGCCTATTAAGCACCTGTGATTGTGATGTCATCATTGTGAAACAATTGCCTTGTTTCCCTCGTCCCTCTTTGTCATATTGTGCTTCTGAAAAATCAAAGTGAAAAAGATTCTTTTACATATAATAACAAACCCTGTAAAAATGTTCAAGACAGTTATTTTATATTATCAGTTTCTTTTTCTTTTGTAAACAAAATGGTTGGGATTTCTCTCTCTTTAGTGGTCATCCCACTGCTTTCTGTATATTGACCAATAAAGACTTGTTTTAGACTCTTCACAGCTCTCCTACTTGTTTGTGGACTGGACATCTGACGTACGTGTGTGTGTGTGTGTGTGTGTGTGTGTTGGCAAACTGAGAGATTTACATAATTGATGAGCTGCCATTGTAGATGTTAGAAAGCTGCCTGAATTCACAAAATCACACATATCTGGGCCAAAAAAAGGCCTGATATGTAATGCATATTCTACTCCAACATATGAGGATACATTACCATGTCAAAGATGTTGTGCAATTGAACATCAGGCAATGCTGCATATTAGCATTTGGCCTCAATAAGTAGTAATAATGATCCAACAAAAAAAACAGAAGTCATAGGGTAGCATGTCAAAGAAATTACAGTTATGTATGTCTGTATGTAAGTCTTTCAAAAACAAGTCACAATATATTATGTCAAAAAAGTCATGAAAAAGTCATAATATAGTATGTAAAAGTATAATATGCCAAAGAAAATATTAGTATATTATGTTGAAAAAAGTCATAGTATTGTATGTCGAATAAAATCATAAAAAGTCATAGTATAGCCAAAAAAGTAAAAGAATACAAAAAAGTATAGAATTATGAAAAGGGAAAAGAAAGTCATATTATACTATGTTGAAAAAAGTTTTTTTTTAAAGTCATACAATAGAAATCATAGTATAGTATGTCGAAAACAATTTAAAAAACAGTCATTGTATCTAGTATGCTGATAATAGTCAAAGTAAAGTGTAAAAGTAAAAAAAAGACATTGCATAGAATGTCAAAAAACGTTTTTCAAAAGTCATAGTATATAGTATGTCGAAAACAATCGTGGTATAGGATTTCAAAATGAGTAATTGTAATTGTGTATGTCGAAGAAAGACTGTACTTAATACTCCGACCACTTTCACACTGCTTATCATCATTCACCCATTCACACACTGGGGTTAACTGTCAAGGACACATCAACATACAACTATCGGAGCTGGGGATTGAACCGCCTATTTTCTGTTGAAGTAGAAATTACACCACCATAATTTCAAGCTTTTCTAGCTATTAGTTGTTATAATAATACTTGTAAAACACAGCTCCATTTTACCAGGAGTGGGGATTGAACCCACGAGGGCTGATGCCCATTGGATCTTACATCCAACGCCTTAACTACTTGGCCACCCTGGTGACTATTGTATAGTATGTAGAAAAAAGGCATAGTGAAGTATGCCGAAGAAAGTAGTGCATATTTTTACATACCATACTTGTTGACTTTATTTGACACACTATACTATGACCTTTTTCGACATACTATACTATGATTTTTTTTTTCTACATCCTATGACGCACGTTAATACAACTGTAAGCTAATTCAGAAAATGTCAAAAAATGTCAGTATAGTATGTGGACATACAGTCTTCTCATCGGACTGTCGGCAAGAAAGGAAATAAGCATGTTTTCCAAAGACTATTACTTAAAACGTCACAAGCCAAAACATTTGGGAACTGATTTTTCAGATAACATAAAATTAAGAATTTTAGCAGAAAACTAAAATAAGATAATGTAAGCAAAACTTGTATTGGATTGTCTACCATACGATATGGTGCATAAACATACAGTCCGTTATGAAAGGAAACATGTAAAGTCACCATGTTATTCACAGAAAAATGAAGTTTAGTTTAATAAAGCTATCATGCAATGTAGTAAAGTAAAGAAAACAAATGGCATATCTTCATCTTTGAATACTATTTGATTTTTCGTTATCATGCTTAGAATATACTGCTTAATACTTCTAATTTGAACTCAAGTGCATTTTAAATGCTTTCATTTAAGTTGGATCTATTAAACATGCAGATCTTGCAGGGATGAAGTGTTGCTGCTCTGCTTTGGCCTCCCGCTTGCAACAGTGCTGACTATTCATTTTTGTACTCAGCAGGTCCCTGAGGATGAAGAAATACAATCGTCTCATTAGTAGCTTAATGGCCTTTTTAACTGATGAACACCGAATGTTCAATAACACTCTTACCCGTGCTGGAGGAAACTACAGTGTGCCTGAGAATAGCAAGAATGGGATTAATTGCTATTGAAATAATGCCAATTGGTTCAGCACCACCCCCTTTACACTCAAACACATCCTCACAATTCTATTTAGATTTGTCCCTTTAATTCAGTTCAACTAAAGTTACACCACTTAAACCTCAGGTGGACTCATTCAAACAGCAACTTGCAGGTTGGATATATTTTTAAACTAAATTAATACTTTCATAAAAAATGAACATTTAAAAAGTTGATGCACAATTTTATGACAAGACATTGGGACAGAAATTCAGTGAGAGAGTTTGTGTGTGTGCAGCATGCAGGCAGGCAGAAATACAGTGGAAAACACCATCTGCTGTATCCTGTACATCACAGTACTAGGATACTGTATGTTCAAATGTTTAATCCTCTTTAAAAGTATTTCATAGATTTTTTAAGAGGTTTTATAATAGCATTTGTATTGTCTACTCTTCTACTACTTCTCCCCCATATTTCAGAGGGAAATGTTGTGTTTTTACTCCACTATATTGATCTGACAGCTGAGGTACCTTTGTACTTTATTTTACATATAAAACAAGTGTATGTAATGTAGCTAGATTCAACTCCACCTCAACCAGCTACACCATTAAATGGTGAATTTGACCTGTCGAAAGAAACACAAAGAATATCCTCCAGACATTTTTCAAATTCACTTGGCTTTTATTCACATTTCATATCTGTTGACATCTCAACTGCACCGTCTGTCCATACATTCCACTACTTTTCTGAATGGGCCTTTTCTCCCCATCCTAACTGATAAAAACAAGAGTTCAGACCACCATCGTCACAAATAATAGTAATAATAATAATAATAATAATAATAACAATAATAATAAAAGCAGCATTAAAGAAACAACTTTTGATTTCTCTCTCCCTTCATCACCAGCATATTTGTATTAAATTTACCTGAATGTAACCATCAATCATCAGACAAACAGATAGCTTGTGATAAATAATAATAATCATCATCATCATCACCATCATCATCCTGCCATCATCAAAATCAAACTCCACACTCACAATAATATTAATAATAATAATAATGTAGAATACAAACTCAAGATGTTAAAAAAAAGTGACTCAAGCCTTTTTTAGGAAAGAAAACATGATTGATCTACAGTGTGTGTGTGTGTGTGTGTGTGTCTGTGCGCACGCATTGGTCAACTGCATCCTATTCTGAGCCAGAATCTGCTCTGCGCTGCAGTAGCAGTAATGTTCCTACATCCTGCTCCAGCCTTTCTTAAAGATCCAGTGAGACTAGATCTGCTATGGTCCTGTCTGTTTGTTTGTTTGTTTGTTTGTTTGTTTGTGGTCATTAAGACAGTTGTGCGGACAGCAGACAGATACTGTCTGGTACCAGTGAGCTACAGCAGGCTGCTACAACAGCAGGCGAGGCTCTTCTTACTGCCAACAGCATGATAGCACTAGTTACACTGTGATGGGCCACGACCTACAGCTCCTACAGACGCATTCACACACTCCAAGGCTTTAGTATGAAATACTTTGGTTGTGATTGACATCATAATACATGATTTAGTGTCCTGTGAGTATTGGTTCTCAGTGCTACTTAACAAACCAAGCACTTCTCTCCTGTTCACTGCTGCATTAAAGCCCCTTTCAGACACATAGTTCCTTGACGGCAATCCTAATAAGTTGGACCTACTAACATTTCTATAACACTTCTTACACCATGCAAGTTTTAATTGGATATATCCACACTATCATAAAGGCCCCAGCAGCACAAATTATGCACATAAAAGGATTAAATGCATGTCTTGTTCACTAATTAAAAGCTCTTAAAAAGTGTTTTCTCCCTCAGCTGCTACTATGATCGATGGGGTTCTACAAGAACATTACTTTCAGTTGGAAGTTAGAAAGGTTTTGCTTGTTTCATATTAGAGATTTGTGCATTTCCTCTTCTATCAGAGGCTGAGCTCATTTAGAAAAAGGTGATGCACATATTTCCATCCATCAATCAGCAATTCAGCAATATTTAAATTGAAATCGGATTGCAATTTGGTGGGTTGTTCGGATTATTGTCAATCAAATCTGATCAAATATCTAGATGTCAGATCATAAAAATGATCAGACCCGCCTTCATTTTTCAAGTTATGTTTAGGCTAACTGCATGGATGAAATGATACATATGCTGCATATAAAAGTTCTTTACATACAGCATATAAGGAAACGAGAAATCCAATGTAACGTCTCGTCATTTTGTACTTGGCAATTCTAGTATAAAAGGCAGCAAAATAAAATGAATGTTATAAAATAAACTAATAAATGATGAAACTGATGAGTGGGAACTGGTGGTGAGCTTCTTTCACGCCGACTATGGTCATCAATTAAGGCTAAAACACATTTTAAAAATCCATCACTGATGCAATATTCTTCCTTCATATCATTATCTTTCAATTCCACCACCTGCACCAGGTACAAAATACTGTACGAGCATTGTGAATATATCCATAACAAACTTTTACCATCTCTGAATGACAGAAAGCCATCACTTTAACTGACAGACGTCACTTATTCCATGTCTGAAAAGGGCTTCGCGCTCATCAAATGTTTGCATAAAGCCAGGAGATGAGTTCACCGTGCTTATTTCTATCTACTGAACTTTGCACACACACCTTGCAGCCATGTTTTTGATCTACTCTGTATGAGATGTGAGCTTTTTGGTCGGGCCCCGAGTCAATCAGATAAAAACAACATCAGTGCTGAATCCTCTTTCATTCGTCTGGGCACTGCAGCCTGTCGCCTGTGTCAGTGCAGACCATGAATACAGGCTATGGTGCCCAACAGCAATGATATGGTCACTGACTGTATGTCAGGAAAGGCCTCCAGGGAAAGGATTAGTGTGCTTTCTCAGCGCAGTGTTCGTTCTCATCACTAGGTGGCAGTGGTCATCGGAACACTGTTACCTCTTAACCACATCGAATGGGTTTTCTTTCTGGATGAGTGAGACACTGATGGGATACCATCATCAATAATTTATTTCAAGTCAAAAACAAATGATAAAGCAGCTCGAAATCCAAAATAAGCTGGTGCCGTCTTTGTTTGAAAGCCTGGACCTCCTCTGTCAGTTCTTCATTCATCTTACTCTCAATCCTTTTAATAAATCCATCTTTTGTCGAGCTATGGCGCTCTCAGTGTGGACATGCTTCCATCCATAATCCTCTCCTTGCATCCTTTAATTAATACATTTTATTCATCCATCTCTAGACTTTCCGGTGGTCTGGTTTGTGTCCTTTACTCCCAGTTGGCTCTGCTGGTGTGTCAGTCACTGGTATTGGAGGTAACTTTTCAGGGACTGGGGCAGAGGGAGGCTCTCGATCTCCTGAAGCCGCTCCCGACCCAAAGCCAGGCGGGCTGCACGCCGACACAGATCCATCAAAGGAAGAGGCTCGGCTGAGGAGAGGGAGAAAGATAGAAAGATCAAATAAGTAAAGAGAGGATGTATGAGGGGAAAAAACCTTTAGGAAATGACAGAGAGGATGTATGAGGGGAAAAAACCTTTAGGAAATGACTTGTGCAAAGTGTGACTTATGACGGTTTTGGCGTGCATTTATGTTTATACCTTCAGCCAGTGTGATTAATACCCGGTGGTAATCGGGGGCGGGGGGGGGTCCCTCTACCTAGTGCTTCAGTGTTATGCTGAAGTCTTACACAGACTCAACACGTAACAAGATTTCATGGAATCCAATCAACTAGGCTATTGTCGTTAACATTAAAGGCCACTCACACAACGACGCAACAATTATTCCCTGAAACAGAATCCACACCGCGCACTGGCCTCTCTGTCTCTCTAACCCGACACCCAGGCACACACACACGCACACACTCGAACTCGACACTCGCACACCTGTGTGTCCCCGTACAACTCTTCCCTTTATACAAAGCAGATCGATCACAAATCAGTCATTGAATGAACCAAAGAGTCATGATTAGGGTATTTTTAACCGAGTGTAACCGTGACGTTGAAGCAGAAATAAATCCACTGTTTTTTCAGGTTGTACAGAGTAACGTTTTGTCAACTACACAACATTTGTGCCTTACCAGAAACAACCAGGTATCCAATGGCAATAAAAGAGCAACAATACGTTACTGTATTCATATTTGTGAATAAATATTTTGCAGTTTGAATAATGAATACTGCTGGACATAGTTAGTTTTTAAAAGATGTGTTTAGTGACAATTGCAAGCGTCAAATCATCATCATCATTTTTCCAGAGACTTTCAGGGGGTCTCAAGTGTCAAGGGGTTTCGGATCTCCCGAGACACATCGCATTTTGTAAAACTGCTTGCAACTCTGTCTTTATTACATGCATAATACATGTTAATATCCGTTATGCATGAATAAATGAATGAGAGAGGAGTAGATGGGTAGAGGGAGTGATGATGCACACCTTTAAATATTTTAGCCTCCTCCTCAAACACACACACACACACGTGTGTACTGCGTGTACACTGTTTGTAATAAGTTATATTACTTTGAGTCCATTTTAAACAGCGTCCGTCACATCGACTTTCTATCCTGCTGAAAAGCTCATTCTGGGTAGGCTGACTGCCACGGTCGCCCCGTGCCGTCACTCTGCTCTCTGTACTGTGAGCTCCTGGTCAGCCTTAGCTTCGACCTTCACACCAGCGTTAAGGGGGAAACAGATACAGGAGGCTGCGGTCTGAGCTGCAGCTCACACAGACCACGGAGTAGAGGAGGCGGAGGGACGGTGTCCATCGAATTACCATTTCCATGTGACGTTAATGAACACATCCTAAACAAACAATGTTGTGGTAATTCCCATCTACAAAACTCACAAATTGTACACAAACATAAAAAAAGAACCTCCCGAAAAATGTGCCACTAGAGTCCGACCAATACATCAGCTAATTTTAGCTTAGCACAGATTATGGGGTTGTGTTTGCCTGCTGCATTTTGGATCTGGTTGCAGGTCAACAAGATACCCAGATGTCAGCTTGTCTTTTCTTTGCTCTTTCTTTTTAGAAAAGAGCAAAGCAGAAAACATTTAGGTAGTATCTACATATTTGTTGACAATTGTTGCTTTTGCCAGGAAAGTTTATGTAATTTACATTAATTTCATAACTGCTGTCTGTCTCGTTAAGCCAGTGTTAGTTCTCAGTTAAGGGTTGTTTGTGAGAGAAAACACATCAATCTGTAACACAACTGTTCAACTGCAAGTAGACTGAGTGACTTGTAGTTCAGCGAGACCATCTTGCCGATCCTTTCACGTCAATGTCAGTAGAATCCTTTATGATTATAATATACAGTGGGTACGGAAAGTATTCAGACCCCTTTAAATTTTTCACTTTGTTTCATTGCAGCCATT